GAGTGGTTAAAGTTCCATGCGTTCTGCTTTGGTGGCCTGGGTTTGCAGGTTCGGATCCCAGGTATGGACCTACTCCACTCATCAGCCACGCTGTGGAGCCATCCCACATACACAAAATAGAGGAAGATTGGCACAGATGTTAGCTCAGGGCTAATCTTCCCCAAGCCAAAAAAGAGGAAGATTGCCAGTGGATATTAGCTCAGGACGAATCTTCCTCACCAAAGAAGAAAAAAAGAACAATTGAAATCAAGATGCAATTGATTTTTTTCAGCAAGCTGTTGAATAGGATTTTGAGCTACCAGAGAAGAAATAATTATGACTATTCTTGCAGCATGAAACAGCTACTAGTATATGTTATTCATTCCTGAAATATTTAGTATACTTTCAGAAAGTCAAAACTATGTTTAAACATGGATAGCAAAGAGTCTGTCTCCAAAACTGAAAACAACAAATTCAAATTAGGAGAATCTTTGGGTGAATACTGTTTTTTTTCTTTTTTTGGTGAGGAAGATTGTCATTGAGCTAACATCTGTGCCAATCTTCCTCTATTTTACATGGCATGCCACTACAGCGTGGCTTGACCAGCAGTGCTAGGTCTGCGCCCAGGATCTGAACCTGCGAACTCCGGGCCACTGAAACAGAGAGCATGAACTTAACCACTACACCACCAGGCCAGACCGGTGAATACTTTTTTTATTGTGTCTAGAAAATGACACGCAGCATACAGTAGTGGGAAATTTATGTTCATTTAGTTAATTCATTCATATATTTATTGAAGAGTCATTTCTAGAAGGACGTAAGTGTATGTATGAACTCCAAACGACATATAAGTCCCATTAAGGACTACTTTTTTGCTATTTTAATTTGTGGATTTGTAGTTAAACCTCAAAAGACCTAAGATATTCAGCAGGAAAGAGACATGAGAATCTCACAAGAAAAGGAGATTTTGATATTAGTAGCTTACTATTTCTGCTCTGAGAGATGAGATGTGTAAGAATTATATAATTTCGTATGCTTAACATTTAGTTATATGAATAAAAGATCCTAACCAACTTTACTTCAATAGGGCATTCGTTTCTTTAAACTAAATAGATTATCTTTTAAAATTCAGGTAGAAATAATAAAGTGGGAAAGGAGTTATAAAATGCAAACCTCCACTAAAAATATTTTTTAAAAATCCTGTTGATTATATTAAAAGAATTATACTCTGATTTGATTAGGAGGGAAATTCCACCTTGGATCTATTACACTAGAGGAATAGACATACTTTTATAGCTGCTCTTCATCTTTCTACCTTTTATAAATATTAGGAACGATACACAGATAGGAAGTTATCAAGTGGGATTAATCAATATTGTTTTATTATAGAAGCCATGTTTTATTAAAAAATAATATACTCTAGCAGGAGACTTCTCATACTTCTGTCTTTTATAAATACTTTCTAAGCTACCTATATATTTACATTTTCTGGATAATTGTAAATGAGAACAGAAAATTTTGATGTTTGATAATGATAAGAAATCCTTGATATGCATGGGCATAAATGAGGAATATTTGATCTGGGGACTTCTTTTTGTTGTCACAAACCAGAGCACTTCTGAGTTTATGAGAAGCATGAATATCCCATTTTTAAAGTAACATTTTCTTCCTATCTGTGATCCTTAGTGAAGTGTTGCATTCAGTAATGCCTTTTGCTTTGCGCGCTCTTTACCAGGCAGAATTACCCATCTGCAACAGACGCCCAATAATTTTGATTAGACTGTGAATTCTTGCATTGAAATTCAGCTCTTTTGGGCAGATTGTGGAGAGGGAGGAGATTGAGAAATATCTGTGGTGTTACAGTAAGAATGTGTTAAGATAGTCCTATATTTATGCAAGGGAGGTACTCAAACATCACAAGCTATTAGTAAACAACAAAATATTCAGTGGATGTCAATGGCCTTGACAACTAATTTGTCAAAAAAAGAAAATATAGTGCTAGAGAATGTAATTGTTTTTTAAGGGTTAGCTCTGGGAAAGAAACTAATTTAAAATTACAAGCACACTGTGAGACTGTATGCTTATATTATCTTTTCTAGTATCAAGGGAAACTGGGAATCTGTTTTATTGATTTACTAATTCTTAAAACTGAATTTCTGAGAAATGTGTCCTCATTTAGTATTCTAGGTCAATTGATAGTCTCTCATTGAACAGGTTACCCAAGTTTTCAGGAATTGGCATCACTGGGGGCTGAAATAATTCCAATTAAATAATTAATTTGAAACTATTTATACTGAACTGTTTTGGTGAAAATGCATGATTTGAATATACCTGTGATTTTTCAATCCAGCACTAATGAACCGTAATAGAAGAGGAATTAATCTCTGCCACACTGAAGAAACCACTGTGACTCAAGACGGAAGCTCTAATCTTTGAAGTGAGTGCACTGCCAATCAGCAATTTTCTTTTGAAATGGACCCATTTTATTTCACTTAGTTGCTTTTTGAATCCTAAGTCTATCATACCCTTATCTTCCTATTAGAATAGTGCCAGGATAGAAACAAATTTTGTTGTTCAGCAAATACTAAAGTTAGAATGGAAGCCCAGCATGGCCTCTGATATAGAATTCACCTTATTTTTCTGCTGACTCTTTCTTGGAATGCTACTAGATTCTGTTCACTATGTACTATTTTTGTGCCTTTCTACTTCTGTGCTTCTCTATTATCTATGAAAATCTCCATGTATCTCACATTCAGAGGACCCACTTTATTGGAGCTCACCTCGGACTTTGATCCAATTACTCACGGCCAGGATAGCAGGAGCACACAGGGCAAAGTATGGCCACTTAATGGAGCAACACTCTTGACAGCATCTCAGAGTATGTTGGGCTCTTATTCAATCCAATTTGGGGACCATAAGTTATAAACTTTAAAGATTATTTTAACTTGCTCTTTTTCAGCCATTTTATCATAATCAGGCACAGCTATTTACCATATCCTATTACACATTATGCCATTATGAAGAGGAACAAAGAATAGTGTCCTAAAGATTATCCACTCTTTATCTTATTGTAGAGAACACAAAAGCTCAGAACGATAGAAGGCTTGTCCTCTACAACACTGTGAGATACTACATAGCGCTGGGGTTATATATCAGATCTTCTTACGCCTGCCTATTTGGGGGATCAGAATTTACCACCTCAAGATGTATCTCCTTTGGCTTGATTATTTTACGTACAAAAGACTCAGGGAGAAACTCTGAACTTCCCCCTAAGTGCCTAAAAGAATTTAAGACAGAAGGCCTGTTCCAGGAAGGATTTCATACCATAGATAACTATAGCATAAAATAAACTAGGTGTAGTAGACAGGGAGAAACCTAGCAAGGCCCATTTGTTCAAAGTCCGCCCCATGTCCTGTTGTCTTTACAAGGCATGACAAACATTTCTTTACCAAACGTTTGCTTTTCCATCTCCATGTGAATTGCCTTCCTCCCCTTTGAAGTCCCAAACCACTAGTTCCAACATCCTCCTTTGTTTTTATCTGAAGATGATATTTAAGGTGGTGTCTTTGGCCATTTTAGTGAGTTACTCAGTTTTTCTGGGTGCCTCCTATGTATGTATGTTAATAAATGTTTGATTTTCTCTTGTTATTCTGTCTCATGTCAATTTAATACTTATATCAGCCAGAAGAACCTAGAGGGTAAAGGAATATTCTTCCTCCCCTACAGTAGCAAGCTGTCTAATAACCTATTGCATGTGGACTTTGGAAATTCCAGATTTAAGGGTCTAAACCTTTATCCTTATAAATCTTGAATTAACAAGTTTTATGGAAATCAGTTGTCCTGAGGTTCAAACATATATTTTTAAAACCTTCCTAAAAAAATAATTAAAATATCCTTTTAAGAGGCAAGTTTAATTCACTTACAGCCTCCCTTCCTCAACCTTACTCCATGATGAAGTCAAAGTTATATGTTTAAAGCAAATCTGATTATGTCACTCCACTCCTTAAAGACTTCCAATGACCCTATTCCCCTCTGAGAAAGTTCAAGTTTCTTTACACAGCCTTCCAGGTCTTTTCTGAACTTGCCCCATTTACCTTTTTAGTTGAATCTCACGTTGGTCAAGAAAACACACCCTGCTTTCCAAAGATGTTGAAACTGTTTGTACTCTTCCAAGACCTCCTTCCCTGTGCCTTCTCTTCGGACTTCCTCCTCTAACTACATTGTTCCTACGAAGACTGCTCTAATTACTTTTGTACATATATTTAAACAATATGTAAACCAGACTGTGTGCCTCAGAAAAGCAGGGCAGTCAGAACCAGTTCATCAATACTTTGCAAATAAGTAATTCAAAAAATTTCCCTGAAGCCAGGTTACTGGGGAAAGGAGGGGGTGAAGAGGTGGGAGAGGGTAGTCATGATCACCTGGGAATCTGTAGATAGCAAAGCTCTGAAGCTTTGAAAAATGTGAGAAGATCTAGGTCTCAAGAAAGAAAAAAGCAATTTTAATAGTGAACTGAAGAGTTTAAATGTAGAAACAAGTTTTAAGTTTAGGAATAATACCGATAAATCAATAAAAAGACAGATTTCCTTGTACTTAATTATAATCATTTAAAAATAATTAGAGTTTGTGAAGTGAAATTTATTGGTAAAAAAATGTCAGAATTTGAATGCCCAAATCATGTATGAAAGTGATTGAATTAGCAACGTTCTTGAAATTAATCTCTTTAAATTTACTTAAAATCTCTCTCTAGGGCCAGCCATTGGCATAGCAGTTGAGATTATGCACTCCACTTTGGCAGCCAGGGGTTCGCCAGTTCGGATCCTGGGCTTGGACCTACTAACAGCTTATCAAGCTATGCTGTGGCAGGTGTCCCACATATAAAATGGAGGAGGATGGGTACAGATGTTGGCTCAGGGCAGTCTTCCTCAGCAAAAAGAGAAGGGTTGGTGGCGGATGTTAGCTCAGTACTAAATCTTCCCCCCCCCCCCAAAAAAAACATCTTGCTCTATGTGTGTGTAAAATATCTTTAATTTTCTTCCTGTTTCTGCCACTTTATATATTTTCAACAAAATTAATTTGCATATGGCTTTATTTTTATTTGATTTTCATGCACTTCACTATGTTGACCAAATATGTGTTTCAAAACCAATTCAGATATAATAACAGTACTTCCATTACAGAAGCACAATATTATCAAGATCCTGTTTTCAATCCAGATTTTTGGTAACTTGTAAGAATTGGTGAACCAATATGATCAAAACCGTTAAGGAGACTGGATCACAGTGAACAGATACCAGGCCTGTTGAGGTAAGGGAGAAAAAATTCCGTTACAAAATACATATGAGTTTAACTAATGGCATAGTCAGGAGAGATAAAAGCAACACGTTAAATCAGAAGTCATTGATAATTATGTTTGAAAATGTTCTGCAAGCAGTCTAGGAAAGCAAAGTGTGCTGGCATTTAAAAGATTTCAATAAGTTATTCATTCTTCACTGAAATATTACTTTCAAATTTGTGGGTTTGCTGCAAACTTTATACTGATTCATTATTTTCCCCAATAGCTGGATTTTGATTAAATAATGTAGTTACATTTGAATTTGTTCTGTTTTACCTTTCTTGAATGTATTGAGGAAATGCAATTATTAAAATGACTCTGAGTAATAACTTTTCATGATTAAAAATATTTCATTTTTTGAGAAGAGGAGGGTGTCCTTGCCTAAATGCCAATAGCCTTTAATGGAACTGCAACTTTTAAAAAAGTTCATTTTTATTTTTTAAAAGGTAAATTTTTTCCTTTTTTTTCTGGAGAAGAACATTGAATGTCTATATTAAAAGGTTTTTCATTAATAAAGCATGGTATAATGTTGGCAGATAGGTTCTTTAATCAAGTATTTGTACATATTGAAGTTGTGCCAACAGTTTCTGATTTTCAAGTAACTTTTGCTACTTTTAAAGTAGTTACTTTATATATATACCTTTATGTATAGATGCACATATACATATATATGTCTGTTTATACACACACATATATGTATAAATATAGACAAATATGTAGATACATATATACGTATTTTAAGTGACATATATATGTATATACCCACCCCACCCTGCAAAAGGAATTGGGAGTGCCGAATGGCTGCTTCCTTAGCAAGTTGGTGGTTGATGGAAATGCTTCTATAGAGCTCATAGCTCAAGTCTATCAATTGCTACACAATGGTGTCAGGACCTTTTGATTCTGGAGCTAGTTGCAGATAGTGTCAGAGAATGGACAAGATGTTCTCAGCGAACTTGAGTTGTGATTTACTTCATAGATTATAAATGGTATGAAAATATTTTGGTATATCAACTATTTTTTTTTTTCTGAACAAACATACAATATGCTGATACTATGTTAGGGTTTGTCCAAAGTGCCAAAAGAAATTGGGAGCAAGATTTTTAAAGCTTTGGCTTTCGATATCAAAATTGAAGTCAAAATTAAAGACTAAAAATTTGGAAAAATATATGAGGATGGAGATTATTATGAGGACAAGTGGAGGAGACTTGAAGAGGATGAGATGATATTGAGGCTCATAAATAATCCCAGTGCCTGCCAGAGCCAAGTTAACATGAGCAGAATCAGTAGAGAGAGACTCAAGGGGAGCAGTTCCATCCACCACCAGCATAAGGCTAGCACATGGGGACTACATCAGCATCCAAACTGCTCCAGTATCTGAGTTAATCTGATGTAGTCAGTGCCAGGGAACTCTGTTAATTGTCCTTTTAGTTGGTATCTCATGAGGAACTCTCATCAAAAGTAAGTAGTATATCACCCCTTAATATCCAGGAAGGACGCCTCTCTGTAACTCTGTAACTGTGTTCAGCCCCTCACCCCGAATGTAAGAACAAGTGTGAAAATACCTTCAATAGCCTCAGACACTCTTAAGATCTCTTAAAACAGAGGTGGGCATCTCGGTGGTTTGTGGTGTGGACAAATTCTATAGTTCTGCTACTGTTGAACTGAAATGAACCTGTAGAGACATCTCCACAAGCCTTGGTATATAGGTATATTTACATATTATTTAGCATAGGATATATCCTTTAGAGACCTGAAAAAATAATGAAGGCAACTTCTCAAGAAACCCAATTTACAAATAGGGGCAAGCTTTGATATGAGAGGAAATTAACTTAGTAAACACTAATGAAACAATTATAGACATACATATATGCATACAAAGCAATTGGTAAAAAGAAGAAAATATATAGGGGCTAATTTAAGTTAAAGAGTCAGGGGAGGTCCTGGATTAAAGTTGAACTTTAAAAAAGTTAAAATATAAATTTTTGACATTTGTAGAACTCAAGGATCTCTCTCAGTCTTATTCTTCTAACACTAAGGAAAACATTCATCTTGGAGGCTTCCCCAAACCTACAGGTGTCTCTGTAGCATGGATAGTCCAGTTGTTATCTAGTATGAATTTTTCAAGATGGCACAAGAAATGACATTTAATCTTTATTTTATATTCATAAGGCAAGGCTGGTTTTATATACTGAATACATTATATATTTTAGCTGAAGTTGTTTTTATATTGAATACAATGCTCCCTGAACCTGGCATTCTAAAATAGTTTAAAGATGAACATTCAGAACATTTTTCACATTTGTTGTATTCAAAGAATTTTGCTCCAGTATGAATTCTTTGATTTAAAAGATGGAATGAGCTACAGAAGATGTTCTTAAATGGCTTATAGCTTTTAGGATGCTGCTGAATATTTTATATATATGTTTATATATATTTTAAAATATTTTTTGTGAATATATATATATATACACACACAGCTATATAAACATGTATACATACATGCACATAAAATTTATATATATTAAAATCCATATTTTTTGTTTTATTCTCTTTGTTTATTGTTTTATCTTTTTTAAATTGAGTTCATAATAGTGTACATCATTGTGAAATTTCAGTTGTACATTATTTCTTGTCCGTCACCACATAAGTGCTCCCCTTCACCCCCTGTGCCCACCCCCACCCCCCTTTCCCCAGTAACCACTGAACTGTTTTCTTAGTCTATGTGTTTGTTTATGTTCCACATATGAGTGAAATCATGTGGTGTTTGTCTGTCTCTCTCTGGCTTATTTCACTTAGCATAATACCCTCCAGGTCCATCCATGTTGTTGCATGGGATAATTTTGTCTTTCTTTATGGATGAGTACTATTCCATTGTGTATATATATAATATACATCATATATATATATATCACATTGTGTGTGTGTGTGTATATATATGTCACATCTTCTTTATTTAATGACCAGTTGATGGGCCCTTGGATTGTCTTGATGTCTTGGCTATTGTGAATAGTGCTGCAATGAACATAGGGGTACATATGTTACTTTGGTTTGTTGATTTCAAGTTGTTTGGGTAGATACACAGTAGTGGGATAGCTGGGTCATACAGTATTTCTATTTTTAGTTTTTTGAGGAATCTCTGTACTGTTTTCCACAGTGGCTGCACCAGTTTGCATTCCCACCAGCAGTGTATGAAGATTCCCTTTTCTCTACACCCTCTCCAACATTTGTTATTTTTAGTCTTAGTGATTATAGCCATTTAACGGGTGTTAGGTGGTATCTTAGTGTAGTTTTGATTTGCATTTCCCTGATGATTAGTGATGTTGAACATATTTCCATGTGTTTATTGGCCATCTGTAGATCTTCTTTGGAAAAATGTTTGTTCATATCCTCCGCCCATTTTTTGATTGGGCTGTTTGTTGTTCAGTTGTGTGAGTTCCTTATATATTATAGAGATTAACCCCTTGTTGGATGTATGATTTGCAAAAATTTTCTCCCAATTGGTGTGTGGTCTTTTTGTATTGATCCTAGTTTCTTTTGTCTTGCAGAAGCTCTTTAGTCTGATCAAGTCCTACTTGTTTATTTTTTCTTTTGTTTCCCTTGTCTGAGAAGACATGGTACTTGAAAAGATCGTTTTAAGTTTGATGTCAAAGAGTGTACTACCTATATTATCTTCCAGGAGTTTCATGATTTCAGGACTTATCTGCAAGTCTTTGATCCATTTTGAGTGTATTTTTGTGCATGGAGTGAGATAATGGTTTACTTTCATTCTTCTGAAAGTGGTTGCCCAGATTTCCAAACACCGTTTATTGAAGAGACTATCTTTTCTCCATTGTATATTCTTGGCACCTTTGTCAAAGATTAGCTGTCTGTAGATGTGCAGTTTCATTTCTGGGCTTTCACTTCTGTTCCACCAATCTGTTTGCCTGTTTTTGTACCAGTACCATGCTTTTTTGATTACTATTGCTTTGCAGTACATTTTGAAGTGAGGGATTGTGATGCCTCCAGCTTTGTTCTTTTTTCTCAGTATTGCTTTAGCAATTCGGGGTCTTTGGTTGCCTCATATGAATTTTAGGATTCTTTGCTCTATTTCCATCATTGGGATTCTGATTGGGATTGCATTGAAGCTGTAGATTGCTTTGGGTAGAATGGATATTTTAATGATGTTTATCCTTCCAATCCACGTGCATGAAATCTCTTTCATCTCTATATGTCAGCATCTGTTTCTTTCAATAATGTCTTATAGTTTTGATTGTATAAGTCCTTCACCTCCTTGGTTAAATTTATTCCTAGATATTTTATTCTTTTTGTTGCTATTGTAAATGGAATTGTATTCTTGAGTTCTCTTTCTGTAAGTTCGTTATTAGAGTATAGAAATGCACCTGATTTTTGTAAGTTGATTTTGTACTCTGAAAATTTACTGTAGTTGTTAATTATTTCCAATAGTTTTCAGATGGATTCTTTAGGCTTTTCTATCTATAAGATCATGTCATCTGCAAACAGTGAGAGTTTCACTTCTTCTCTCCCTATTTGGATTCCTTTTATTCCTTTCTCTTGCCTAATTGCTCTGGCCAAAACCTCCAGTACTATGTTGAATAAAAGTAGTGATAGTGGGCATCCTTGTCTTGTGCCTGTTCTCAGAGGGATGGCGTTCAGTTTTCCCCATTGGACATGATGTTGGCTGTGGGTTTGTCATATATGGCCTTTATTCTGTTGAGGTAATTTCCTGCCATCCCCATTTTTTTAACAGTTTTGACCATAAATTGACGTTGGATCTTGTCAAATGCTTTCTCTGCATCTATTGAAATGATCATGTGGTTTTTATTCCTCAATTTGTTGATGTGGTGTATCATGTTGATTGATTTGCGAATGTGAAATCATCCCTGTGTCCCTGGTATGAATCCTACTTGATCATGATGTATGATCTTTTTGATGTATTGCTGTATTCAGGTTGCCAATATTTTGTTGAAGATTTTTGGATCTATGTTCATCAGTGATATTGGCCTGTAGTTTTCCTTTTTTGTATTGTCCTTGTCAGGCTTTGGTATCAGAGTGATGTTGGCCTTGTAGAATGTGTTAGGAAGTGTTCTGTTTTCCCTAATATTTTGGAATAGCTTGAGAAGGATAGGTATTAAATCCTCTCTGAAAGTTGGTAGAATTCTCCAGGGAAGCCGTCTGGTTCTGGGTTTTTATTTTTTGGGATGCTTTTGATTACTCTTTCAATCTCTTTACTTGTGATTTGTCTATTCAGATTATCTATTTCTTCTTGATTCAGCTTTGGGAGGTTTTAAGAGTCCAAGAATTTATCCATTTCCTCTAGATTTTCCATTTTGTTGGCATATAGCTTTTTGTAGTATTCTCTTATAATCCTTTGTATTTCTGTGGTATCTGTTATTATTTCTTCTCTTTAATTTCTAATTTTATTTATCTGAGCTTTCTCTCTTTTTTTCTTTGTAAGTCTGGCTAGGCAGTGTCAATTTTGTTTGTCTTCTCAAAGAACCAGCTCTTTGTTTCATTGATCCTTTCTACTGCCTTTTTTGTCTCAATTGCATTTTTTTCTCCTCTGATTTTTATTATTTCCCTCCTATGCTGACTTTGGGCTCTGCTCTTCTTTTTATAATTCACTTACCTGTAGTTTGAGATTGGTTACTTGAGACTTTTCTTGTTTGTTAAGGTAAGCCTGATTGCAAGGAATTTCCGTCTTAGTACTGCTTTTGCTGCATCCTGTTTGAGTTGGTATGGTATATCTTCATTTTCATTTGTCTCCAGATACTTTTTGATTTCTGATTTAATTTCTCCAATGATCCATTGCTTGTTCAACAGCATGTTGTTTAGTCTCCACATCTTTGTCCCTTTCTCAGCTTTCTTCTTGTAATTAATTTCTAGCTTTATAGCATTGTGGTTGGAAAAGATGCTTATTATTATTTCAATCTTCCTAAATTTATTGAAGCTTGCCTTGTTTCCCAATATGTGATCAATCCTTGAGAATGTTCTGTGTGCACTTGAGAAGAATGTATATTCTGCTGTTTTAGGATGGAGTGTTCTATATATATCTATTAAGTCCAACTGGTCCAGCTTTTCATTTAATTCCACTGTTTCCTTGTTGATTTTCTGTCTGGATGATCTATCCATTGATGTAAGTGGAGTGTTGAGGGCCCCTACTATTATTGTGTTATTATTATCTCCTTTTAGGTTTCTTAATAGTTGCTTTATGTACTTTTGTGCTCCTGTGTTGGATGCATAGATATTTATAGGTGTTATGTCTTCTTGGTGGAGTGTCCCTTTGATCATTATATACTGCCCCTCTATGTCTTTCTTTACCTGTGTTATCGTGAAGTCTACTTTGTCTGATATAAGTACTGTGACACCTGCTTTCTTTTGTTTGCCATTAGTTTGGAGTATCGTCTTCCATCCCTTCACTCTGAGCCTGTGTTTTTTGTTGGAGCTGAGATGTGTTTCCTGGAGGCAGAATATTTTGGGGTCTTGTTCTTTAATCCATCTCACCGCTTGGTGTCTTTTTATTGGAGAATTCAATCCACTTATGTTTAGGCTGATTATTGATATATGAGGGCTTAATGCTGCCATTTTATCACTTGTTTTCTGGTTCTCCTGCATTTCCTCTGTTTCTCAACCTGTGTGTTTTGGTCTAACAGTTGAGTTATTAGTCTTTTATGTTGTGTTTCTTTGTTTTCTCCTTACTTATTATTTGTGTCTCTGTTCTGCTTTTTTGTTTAGTGGTTACCATTATGTTTG